TTTCAGGAAAAAAATTACCATAAAAATGGAGTGAGTTACGTTCCGAAACGTAAAGCGGATGTATAATATTAGTTCTTACAAAAACACACGATTTTTCCCCATTTTTCTTTTTGCATGAGGCGCAATCTCAACACAAAAATTGCAGAACAATTTGCGTAAAAGTGAATTGCAACGATTTAGAGGAATTGTAAATGAATTTAAACGAATCATTTAAGACGAAAGAGTAAGTGAAATAAAAATTACAGAATTCTCAGTGAAATAAAAGCATAAATATTGAAATTTTATTAAATAAAATATTTTTGTGTACAGAATTACGAAGAACGTAAATATAAATGGGGAATAGGCGACGAAAGCTTTGAAATTTGTTGATCATTTTGTAATGTCGGTGGTACACCAACAACGGAAATTCGATCCACCTCGTGAGTTCATGAGGGGCACGACCAATAACGGATAAAGAGAGGAAATAGTCCAATGCAAAAAGGTGGAAGCTAAGAGGCATTGGATTGCCGTACCAAAGCAGTTGCCATTATTTTCTCGGTATCTCAGCGAATCTTACACTCTCGTTGCGTGGTATGTACACATGGAAATACCTATCTAGTACTGTGACAACCCCGGGTGCTCCCGATTGTGCAATCCTCGCCTTTCTAATTCAAGTCAAACTGTTTTCGATTTACCTTAATGCATAAACTAAGGGAAAATATTCCCATGAATTTCCGTATCTCACGATTATTCAAAATCATTCCCTCGATTCCCGCCTTAAGAAAAACATTTAATAAATAAAAAAAAACGACTTCAAACTAACAAATTAAATTAATGAATAATCCCAAACATATATGTTATTGCGTTTGCTAAATTAAATAAATTTGTTTAAAACGAATGATTCAAATTTTGGAGTTGAATTGAAAATTTATTTATTTATAACAATTCAAATTTGGAATTAGTATTCGTTAAAATATTCCTGGGGATGCATTCAATTTATAAACATTTGGTAACACCCAACTAATTATTTATTTTTTATATATTCAGATCAGAAAAATATTTTCTCTTGATTATCTGATCTGGAAATCCCCTCATTTCAGAAATTATTTCACAATAAATTCTTTGGAATAAATTCCCAGGAAATTCCAACGAACGCGATTACACGCGGAATCGTATTTTTTTCTTTATTATTAATTAATTAATTATTCTTTTTTATTGTTTGGGTTTACGAGGAACGAATGTTTAAATATCTGGATTTATTTTGAGTTTTCAGAAGATAAACTATAATCCTTTTCAGTTAATGTACCGGAAATGCAGAGGAAGTCGATAATCTTATCGATTTTGCGGTCAATCAGACTGGTGGGTCAACTTCCTTAGCATCCGGTTTTAGTATCTCCAATGGGTGGAAGTTATCGTTAAAACTCCAAGAAAATCGCTCGATGTTTTGTTTTCTTATCAATTCTGCCACATGATGCGCCTCCAGATGGCCATTCACTTCCTCATATTTATTGATTGACTCATTATCACTGAGATTTATTTATCTCACTATTTGTTATCTCACAAAAGTCATAACTCTTCTAGCCGAGATTCGAGTTTATTTAGTCTACACGTGGCATCATCGGGAATTGAATTACCGAGTGCGCAGCACGATGGAATATTTGCAGTTCCGATTAATTGAAAGCGCGTTTATTGTTTATTATTGGAGCGTAAATAATAGAAATGAGACGGGAGTTGATTCAATGTTTCGAATTTCATGGCTGATTACATACAAGATTTGATGGATCATTTCCCAAATATCTCGTTGTTTGCGTATCGATAGTTGAGTCATTCATATCTGGTTAATTAAACCCCGACGTGAGGAATTTGTTCTTAAAAAATAGGTTTAGAGTTAACCCCCTAGTTCTCATTAACAACAACAATAATAACGAATAATAAACAAATGTTTCAAATGAAAAAACGGCAAATAAATTTTTTCAATGCCAGTGTTTACGCGATATCTCGGAATTGAAGGAAAATACCGATTTTTTTGTATGAACATTTTTAGTAGAAAAAAATAAGAGCTACAAAAAAGGTATTCATGAAAATATCGCTATCGTCCCTCAATTCCGAGATATCAGTTAAAAACTAGTCATGAAAAAAACTGCATTTTGTTAGTTTCCAACAGATTTCTGAAAAAAATCATTTGAAAAATAGCATAAAGCTTCCAATCAACAATTTCAGAAAATTCCCTACCAATTTTCCCAGAAAAATCACCACCAATATTCACTAAAAATAATGAAAAATGATAACCGACAGTTTGCGGTTGTCCAACACGTTGTAATGTCTCTAGCCGGAAATTTAAAACGGCGTCCCTTCACCCTGAAATATTGTTTATGGTGTAATAATGTGAGCATATGCTCGATAATTAATTGATGAACATTAGTGATAATTTGACGGGGGACAATAATATACAAGTGATAAGCGTGTAATTGAGTGGAAGATGAAATGCCACCCTGTACCACTGATTTGTAGTCGAGCATTAAACTTGTCCAGGAGAAACTCCACGAATGTGCAAGAATGAAATAAATAAATAAAGGGGTATGAGGCGGTAGACTGGTTGCATATGTGCGAGGAAAAGTCATGTGTATGGTTAACCAATGCGCTCATAACGTCACGTAAAATATATCTTCAGCGCACTTACACAGATTATCCTAAGCACCGCAGAGTACATCCTATCGCCTTCCATGTACTTCTCTTCTTCTCTCTCTTTCTCGTTGTTACTCCTCTTAAACTCGCCTTCCACTAACACACGCACATTCTTCGCACAACAATTTTCTTTTTATTGTTTATTATTCTCTTTTTAACCTATCCGCATCGTTGGCAATTTTTGTTACCAAGTTCATCGAGCTCAAAGCACTCCGGCAGCTTTCACTTGGAGATTCCTCGTGAGATCTTCTCCCTTTAATGGTTTACATAGATTATACATTTTGTTATTCATATGGACAATTTATTGATTTCACGCTAAATTGTTCATCGTCTATGGTTTTTATTTTATCAATAAATTGCCGGGAATATATTTTTTTTTTTAATGAGAATTCGGAATTAAAGTTTAGGTTTTAGGTTGACAATTTTTATAATGTAATTTAGTTGAAATTTCATTTTCATTCAGTGAAATTCGTAGAAGGATAATGAAGTATTTATTTTTCGCTGTGAAATTCTTCTCGAATGTCCAGAAAAAATATTGTGATAAGAATTTCATTTGCGAATTACGCGAATCATCAGATAATTTGAAAGTTATTAATCCCGCCGGAACAAACATAATGAAATCACGAAAGTGAAATGATTTAGCATGTACCCCATTCATTACCATTACAATAACAAGAAGAGAGAATGTGTATTAAAAAAAGATGAGGTACTGAATAAATATTGACCCAAAACACTTGGCGATCTCCGTTATTAAAATCAAATTACTCGATCCGATCGATAACGAAACAATTAAAACGAGAATTAATTTAGGAGACCATATACACACGGGAGGAGGCCAGCCCCACTGGATAATCGAATCTCCTTTCTCAATTTTTTTATTTTTTAGTCTGCATCCTTCGGCCATTGAAGTGGCCGTAACTCACCAGCGGAAAACCGCCAGTCGACGATCCGATCGCGCCCCAACCGCTGACTGGAACGAGAACCTGAAGAAGAAATAAAATAAAATCAAAAATTCCGAGTAAAAAAATTGGCGAGAGCCTCCGGTAGCCAGAAAGCCATTGGGTAAGAAGTTCTCCACATGTACATAACAATATAAATTTTCCTTTTTTTATTCTTATCACTCGGTCGAAGTTCAACTCGCAGGAGAAATAATTAAAAATTCAGAAGTCCTTTGGTTTAAAATCGCAATTGTTTAAAAATTGTTTTTCGGTTTAAAACAGCAATTGTTTATCTCCTCCCAAAATCAATTTCTCAATTCACTTTTCGAATATCAAAAGCTCCAATAAATAAACAATTATAGTCTAAACGCCACAAGATTTCCAGCAACTCGAAAAATTCCAATAATTTATTTACATTTATTTACTGACTATCAAAGTTGCTAGTATATATTTAATCCGAATTATCAAACCCAAAAAACACAAAGGAACTGTCGATCATTCACCCCCATTGGCATTATATTAAGATTTCCAATCAAATCCCAATCATCTCGTGGATGCGATTCGCAATTCATCCATCAGCTTGCTCAGCTTGTGGTCCCCAGAAAAATCCCTAATCCCCATCCCTCACTTTAACGCCATGGGTTTCCCCCCTCGAGCAAACACAATACACAAATGAAACATCACCCCTTGTTTACTTCAATTATCCCATAATCAGATTAATGGAAGATCATTGTTGCAAACCTCTTGTCGCCATTCGATCTTCATCTTGATCGGGCCTCCGATGGTGGAGGCTGTGGGAGATCGTCCACATGGCGAAATATATTCTCCAAAAATTACGGAAAATACACTTTATTTTTTTACAATAATAATAATAATATTAATAGTAACAATACGAAAAATAATATTAATTATAATTATGCATTTTTAACTATTTATAATATTTTACATTATATTATTGTTGTGTTAATATGACTTGAAATCGTTATTTTTCTATAACAATACTAACTATCAATGGTATTATTATGATTATTATTGTAGGGAGTCATTGTTTATTTATCGAATTAATGAATCTTGTGATGTGTTTTTCGGTAATTTTCATTGTTGAAATTAATTAAAAGTAAAAAGAGTGATATAATCTAATTTTCATATGAATTTATTTATTCAATTAACTTGTCGTTTGTTTTAATGATTAAAAACGTTGGAGAGGAGGTTATCATATAAATGATGATAACGGATTAATCATTTTTAATATTAATATCTGATTAATAATTATAACAATGTTGAATATTTTTTTTTGTTTAGTTATTGGACGTGTTGGTTTACCCCTTCTCTGCGCAGCCGCGTGCGCGCCTGTGCTAGGGACCCCACGACTGGTCGTGTCAGTTGGGCTCAGGACGAGCCGGTGAACGCATCGGAGGATTGCGTCATCTCCGTTCAGTTTATTTCTTCACAACATCGTGCTTCTCAAAACTTAAAACAATCAAAACCCCTCTGAACCATCCAATCATTCGTACAAATAATAAATCCACGTGATAATATCCATTCATGAAATAAATTCCGTGTTTGTGATGGTTGCATTTGAATCGGAGGTCACACCAATGACACGAATGTGAATAGCCATTGAAGAGAATTGAGAATTGTTTAACGTGCCCTTGAGTATTGTTGCGAGAAGTGTGGTGAATCATCTGTTCATTCATAAAATTTTATAACACCGGTGACTTCGACGGTTGGTAAACGATGTTGTTCGCCGGTTTTCTCTGTCAGAGACGCCGGCGTCGTCTGGAGTTCCAGCAGCCACCCACCGTCATCCTCAGTGATAAAGTTAAACATAAAATCTGAAAAGAGAGAAATCAAAATACCAACGCTATTTTTATCGTGAAAATTTGTGTGAAGTGATATCCAGTGTACAACGACTTGTGAAAAGTGTTTTTCCGTTCGTTAATTTTGGTGAGGATAAAACTAGTGGTGCCGTGTGCAACGGATCATTCCAGTTGATAATCCATTAACTTCAAGGAGTTATTTACATCGAGAAAATAGCAGAATGGATGACTTGGCGGTGAGTACATTATTTATTTTCTTCTGTTTACGTTTGGCTTCCGAGTATTTGAGGAATGAAAACAAAAAACAAACGATAGGTATTCGGGAGTAAACAATGGCCGGTCAACACTGGAGATTTCTATTATTTCGGAGCCCGAGAATTCATTCAAATTAGAACTACATAATAATAATAAATATATAGTAATTAAGGCACTGCGGGATGATATGGACATGTTTTTTATTCCAGTTGTTGTAGTAGCAATTAAAACTGGCGAATGTCTCCATCGTCTCACAGAATGACTATCTAAAATTATAAAACCATAAAAATCATTGAATCATCAGATTGAATGACAAATTAATGGTTAAAAAATCATCTTTAAAATTCTCTAACGTCATAATCAATGAAGTTTGAAGCAAAAACATTTGAAGCTCATACGATTAAAATTTCAATCGACAAATGATGTACGTTATTATCACCGATTTTTTCACATTATTTACGTTTTTATTATTTTTGGGGAGTCCCATCGTGACAGTATATTAATCTACTAATTCCTAAATAGCTAATTAATCCATTAGCGTTTGTTTAAACATAAAAAATGATGAAAAATCATGACTATATAATTATGAAAATTGATAATACAAGAATTTTTAACGTACACCCGTGTTAGTCTATGGATCTCTTCATAGATGATATCGAAATAGTGTAAATATTTTCTAGAATATTATCGGTCAGTCCTCCCTGAAGTGGTTGAATACACCGACGCGAGTTTCGCGGACAATGAGACTAAGATTGCTCATTGTTGGTGATATTAACGCGTTGCAGCATAAATCCTCGTTTAAATCGTATTCAAGGAATATTCAGCTGTACTTCTATTATACTTTTCATAGAATAATATACGCATGCCTTTGGGAGGGTTGAAATGCTGGCCTTCGTCACGGATAACGCGCGGTCTTCATTAAACCTAAACTTTGCGTGTTTCGCGGCCATTAGACCGCCTGGCACCGGCCTACAACTAATTTGTACTGTAAATGAGATCCTCATACCCTACACTCACCCTTTACCTCAAATTTCCTCTCATTTTTCCCTCTTACTCTCTCTTAATCCATGGGATTCTCTTGCCCCACCATCCGGCGAAATCCAATCACCTCGTCACGTTCAGATCACCCGGAAATTTCGTAATATTAAATATACCCCTCCCCTTTTTTTTAAGACGGGGATTATCACGAAATTATATCAATTTTTTGAAGTACTTTGGAATCACTCGGGGTTGATTGATGGCATTATGATTATGGGGGATTATGGGGTTTTTGGAGAAGTTTTATTATTGAATTTTCGGTACTCGTTTTAATTGGAATTTTTTTGATTTTTTGATCCAGGTCTAGTCGGGAATTCGAGGTTTTTTGGGGGGAATATTTTGGGATTGAGGATTGAATGGTTAATTATGTTTGGGGATCTATATCCGGAAGTAAATCGCTAATTAATGAGTTATCGTCCATATCTTATCCTTTCTCCAGTTTTTTTTTACGAATTTCCGAGAATCGATTGATAAAATTGCGATGAAAAAAATCTACCGTACTCAACTTTTATTATTATTGAACAAGGAAAACCCCATTTTCATTAAATTTTCCAAAAATTCTCAAAATTTGACCAACAACTTGAAAAAATAATCCATAAAATATGAGTCCTTGAATAAATAAATTGGAGTTGCCCCAAGGCGGTAGATTTTTTCAATTCCCCCGGTGCAAAAATTTCCGAAAAATCTGAAAAATTCTAGAATATCATGCAATAACTCTAATAACTCCTAACTCTCATTGAATCTCGATTACTGGTGGTTGAATATTGAAGTGAGAAAGCTCTTGTATAAAAACGTGTCGATTCTTTGAAGACGTGTAAAGGTGGAAGTGGGTAAAGGGATTCAGTTTGGAGGATTCGTAAATCTCTGAAAGGTCTACACAGCAGCCAAAGGGGCGGCAACACAAATGCGCTCTGAATTCCGATTCGAATCGAAAAACACCACAACTCCCTCCATTCGTTTATTTATTTAAGTCCTTCAGTCTTTTTTTTAAATACGAGTTTCTTTCCACCTTTCGGTTTCATCGGGCGGCAAACAGAAGTTTTTGAAACGTTATTCGTTGACTTTTTTTATCCCATTCGTAACGGCCGCGGTTTCCTCGCACACCTTCGCCGTTCCGGTATTTTGTGAATCACCCTAAAGACAAGACAAAAGGTAAAAGAGTATTGAGGACACATAATACATAACGCGTGATAAATCTATGTCCACAATCTAACACTTGAATCGTCGAGTTTATTTGAATTTTTTTTTTCTTCATTGCTCCTTTTTGGTCGTTGCACTTCTCTTATTTCTCGGTCCCCTGATTTCTTTTATTTATTTATTTATTTTTGAGATTTATTTAACGCGGTGAAAATGCGCGGATGGTACGGCGTTGCCGACGCCGAGGTCTTTTCACAAATGGACATTTATTTAAAATCGCACCACTATCTGTTCTCTATATAATACTGTGGTGTTGGTTGTGCCACAACGGGAGGAGAAAGAAATATGTTAATGTAGGGAAAGAGGGAGAGGAAGGAGGAATTTATTTGTTGAATACACAACAGCGACGAAGCCACAATCGGGAACAAAAAAATACGAATGTGTAGACTACGTACGGCGGTGGCAAAAATGGATCGAATTTCAAACGATTTCATTATTTTACCTTTTTATTTAGAGTTTCACATTTTTCCATTGTTGTGTGACGTGATTTCTGTCATTGAAGGATCATTCAAATATTTATCTCGTTTCCATCTGCTGTCGTATTTCGCTTTTCATTATTTTTCAATCGTCAATTTTGAATCATGACATTTTTAACTGTTTTTGGAAAATATCTCGGTACTGGGGGGAGATAGGAATATTCACATGGATACCTGTTTTGTAGCTCTCATTTTTCTCTTGAAATAATCTAGATACGAAAATTTCGGTGTAATTCTTCAATTCCGAGTTATGATTTAATATTCATCCCACTTTGAGACTTTCGCACAGAATTACACTTTTCAAAATTTAATAAACTCCGAAATTTCTCTACATGATTATATTTATCTATTTTCTCTTCTCCCTGTGGCTTGAATCATTCAGAGGTACGCCGAAAGATAAGCTAGTTAATTAATTGATAGAAATACAGTGAGTTGACCCATTAAATTGAGTTCCCCCGCAATTATAATATCTTTAATGATTTTGGATAAAAAAATTTCATAAAGACATGCAAATTCAGTGGCACTGGTCGGTCGTTATGATCTCGGTTAGGGTAGTATATTCATCTCTCTGGAATATTAAAGTGACTCCGTGTGTCGACTCTTAAATGTCCTCACGGTGTATAATATCGCTTGCACGATACGTAATCGCTCTGTACGTACCCTTAATAATTGTTGGTGCGGTAGTTTAAATTTTCGCTGGATATATTCCCTCGCTTAATGATGTGACCTTCCCTAATGATCCAAGTATTAAAAACGAGAAAGAGAGGAAAAAAAACAAGAGTTGAAGTTCTCATTCGATAATTTTATTCCGGGCATTGAGAAATGAGGTGATTGCAATAATTGTGGATTACTCGGCAATCGTATCAAAAATTTTTCCCTTGATTCCCAATTTTCGTTTCGACTTATTGCTCTGTTCATTAATTAACGAGTGATTATGAGGGATTTTATTTTTTTTTTAAGCTGAAATGCAATTTGTTATTGGCTGCTTCCACCGTGATAAAATTATTGACTCTATCGTGTATGAAATTAAGACGTAAAATCTCGTGCTCTGTGTAATCTTGCCTTTTGCCGTGAAGTTCACATGCACACGTGTTTCTTATTGCTGTTGCGGCACTGGGCAAAAAACACCGCGGTGTGGACGCGGTTCAGCAACGATCGATTCAACCGCGAAAAGAAATAAATAAAAAAAAAATAAAGAGGGGAAAAAAAGAGTGAGAAATTAAATCCAGTCACGCTTCCATTCATGTGTGTAAATATCCAAATAAAGGTATTTTAATCGTAAAAAATTATTGTTTTATGGGAAAAATTATGCGCATTTTTTTGTTTTTCTTTTTCTCACGTATCAAATGGATTTTAATTATTGATATTTGAGAATTGGAGAACTTGAATTTTTAATAGACAATACAATTTCATTGATCGTCGGGTATTAATTAAAAAAAAATTGTAGTTCATGCCATTTGGGGGGAAAATTCTTCACTATTATTATTATTTATTTATTTATTCATTGAAGAATACATGGTATAATTCTTGAAGAAAGAATATCTATATACCGGGAATTTATTTCCATTGAGTGAATGAATAAATAATTGAGTTTCGATTTTCTATCGATTTTCAGGGAATAATAACCTCGATATTTTGAGTTTTCGTGAATTGCTAGAGAATGATAAATATCAACAAAAAGTAAAGTAGAAAAATGGCAATAAAAATTAAAACTGCTAACAGTAAAGTATTAACACCTCTTAAATCGTTGAAGCCTCGACCCTGAAAATTGATGAAATCTATCAAAAAATAAATGGACTTTCTCCACGGCTGTAATATTTCACGGGCGTTCTCAGGTGAATATTTAACCCGAAAGTATGTAAATCAAATTTGAAAATTCAACGATACAAATAGCCTCGTAAAATATCAGTCCGTGTAATCAGCAATTATTCGTTATGGGACGTTAGAAATTCAAGTTAATTAACCTTCCGATCAGAAGCTAATTGCTCACAACTAGGAAGCGATAGGGAAGGATGTGGAGGTATATGGAGGCTTTATTCGTGATTACCATCGCCATATCGCTGACGGGGGCTTTATATGTGGGCTTTCTCGTCCAACGTCCATCCCAGAGCCAATGAGGATACCACACACTACATAAACTCCCAAGCACATCATCTACTCCGTGTGCACTCCCAGGAGATCGCCACCAGCGAATCCGCTAGTCACTCATATACCAACAACACCAGTTTGTTGATGCTAACCATCAAGTTGTGTGCGCATTCCTGCTACCT